AACAAACCTGACGATTTTTATATCAATGCGCATTTTATAAGTTAAATTTGCTCATTCGGTACAGATTGTATACTCATTTGTAAATTGTCATATCAATGCATATTTCAAAAGTAGCATATTAAACTAAATTCGCATATTGAAATTCATAGGAGTATATTATAGATACTACCTCAGTCCCAAAAAACTTTGTCATTTTCAAAACTTTGACCGACTATATCTTTTTATTGAAGATTATTTATAATATAAAAATTATATGAAAATGTTTTTTTGTTAAAAGTACCCTCATAAAAGTATAAAATTTTTAATTTCCATAATATTATAGTAATCAAAATCAATGTTCAAATTTTTTGAAATGGCAAAGTTTTGGGACGGAGGTAGTATAATTTAATAAGTTTTTATAAAAGAAAAAATAAGGAAAAAAATTGAATTAGAAGATATGAAGTACAGATCGTGATACTCGTTATTAGCCTCCTAATACTCAATAAAATAGTTTAGATACTCACTAAAAGTACAATATTTCTCATTTAGCAGAAGTCGTGATTTTTCGCTTAAATTAAAAAAATGCCACCAATTTTTTTTGGCTTGTATCAGTTATTGGGCTGTCTTCCTTAGTTGGGTCGGGTGTACGTACACCCGGATGTACCATATAGGAACTGATTAATAATTCCTCATCATAACAGCAACACGTGCATTTCAAGATTACATATAAACCCTTATTCTAATAAATCACTCCAAATTAATTTAATTACGTTCAATCAATGTCCTTGATTCTCGGATTTAATCATTAATTGAATAATCAAGTTTGGCCTTTAGATCAAGAATCTCAACGGTGATTATTTATTCTTATTTCTCTCCTAGGACTTCATTCTCACTGGAACTGCACCATATATATATACATACATATATATATATATATATATATATATATATATATATATATATATATATATATATATATGGGAAGGTTCAAATACAAAGAGGTTTTCCCATGCAAAGTGAGAATTAATCTCGTGCATTCATTTCCAGATCTAATGGCTCAAAATGAGCCAAAAGTGAACTAAATTTGATCAAAAAACGTGGTGGCAATTTCGTAATTAAAACGAAGTTTTTCGCAACCGCGAAAAAGTGCAACAGAAACACGCAAAAGTGCAACGCAGTGAGGGAAAAGTGCAACTGTTCGCACTTTGCACGGGAGAACCTCTTTTTATTTGATCTCTTCCCTATATATATATACATATATATATATATAGAGAGAGAGAGAGAGATTTTGGTTCAAATGAGAACGAGTCTTAACGTGAGAACGTGAGAACAAATCTGAGTCATTCAGATTATACAATGCATTGAGATGATCGAATAAGTATCAAAGGGCATTTTCGTATAAATCATTTTGATAGTTTTGTAACCGTCATTTCAATTAATACGTGTGCTTCATTTTAGGAAAGAAAATATTCTTAGTTCATTCCATTATTTTTGTTTGACATATTCAACGTAAGGAGGCATGTCTTCATTTTAATAATGATTGTTATTTTTTTTAAGTAAAGTACTTTTGTGCACTATTGTATTGTCAAAGACTATTTTCTCAAAAACTCTAAATACTCCTTAATATATTGTACAATTGACTATAGTGCACAACTAACATATAGTGATACACAAATTATTCTAATGTACACTTATTCTAATATGCATAACACACATTCAATAATACACAATTGACATATACAAAATGTGAGATATATACATGTTCATGTGCATTACATAAATGAGTTGTGTGTTAGTTATATGTGCATAAACATTACATATTCGCAGTTGTGTGCTAGATATCAGTTCTTGTGCATGACATACTTGTTCTTACTTTTTGTGCATTAAATATTGGATTTAGTGCTTGAGATACTTATTATAGTGTTTTGTTATACATATTGTGCGTTGAACACTTGTACTTGTGTATCGGATATTTGTACATGTGTGTTAGCTACATATTCTTGTGTGTTAGATAATAGCTCTTGATTTATTCTAACGCGGAGCATAATTTGCATATGATATAATAATTTTTTAATAGCTCTTGTGTGTTAGATAATAGCTCTTGTGTGTTAGGTACATACCTAATCACTAATATTTCTTGTGCATTAGATATTGTTTTCTTGTGTGTTATATATTAGTTTAAGTTGTGTGAAATCCTTATGTTTAGATATTAATTAGTTTTTAATTGTTGTATGTCAGATATTGTTCTTTGTGCATTATATATTGGATTTTGTGCTTAAGATACTTGTTTTAATTTTTCTTATACTTATTGTGTTTTAGATACCGGTTCTTGTGCATTAGATATTAGTGATCGTGTGTCTGATACATATTCTTGTGCATGTATATATGAAGATGTTTCTTGTGGTTGATTGTATACATATTGTACTTATTCTTTTAAAATAAAATTATATATGACATATTGGTGCAAAATAAAAAGAGGTTCTTCCGTGCAAAGTGCGAACGGTTGCACTTTTTCCTCACCGCGTTGCACTTTTGCGTGTTTATGTTGCACTTTTTCGCAATGGCAAAAAATTTCGTTTTAATTACGAAATTGCCACCGCGTTTTTGATTAAATTTAGTTCACTTTTTGCTCATTTTGAGCCATTAGATCTGAAAATGAATGCACGAGATTAATTCTCACTTTGCATGGGAAGACCTCTTTATATTTGAACCATCCCCTATATATATATATATAGAGAGAGAGAGAGAGAGGAGAGAGAGAGAGAGAGAGAGAGAGCGGTTCCGGTAAGAACGGATCTTAGGAGAGAAATGAGAACGAATCTGGACCGTTGGATTGAATTATGTGAAACTGAATTGTGCATTTGGTGAAACCGAAATGTGCATTAGATGATATTGAAATGTGCAGAATTAAAATTTAAACTCACATGTGCATTAGGTGAAACTGAAATGTTTAAAATAAAAGGTACAAAAATAACATCACATTGTACCTTTTATTCTGCACATTTTAGTTTCATCTAGTGCACATTTCAAATTCACCTAATTCACAATTTAGCTTCACATAATGTCACTACATTGTACCATTTGTGCTGCACATTTCAATTTCACCTAATACACATTACAGTTTCATCTAATGCACATTGAATTTCACATAAAATAAATCTAACGGTCTCGATTCATTCTCATTTTTTTCATAAGATCATATATATATATAGTAGTGTTCCGGTCAGGCATTCCTGACCGGAACCGCCGTCCGGCCGACGGCTTTTGGGGCCCTTCCCGGTGGATTGGTTTGATGAAATTTTTATGGCATGTTCTTCATCAAGTCTAGTTTCTCCACAAAACAATTCAGCTAAAAACTCAATCTAGAAGGTTGTAAAATGATTTTTTGAAGTTAACTGCGCAAAAAAAAAATATATAACGCAGTTAACTTCCAAAAATCATTTGACAACCTTACGGATTGAGTTTTTAGCTAATTGTTTTTGTGGATAAACTAGACTTGATGAAGAACATGCCATAAAACTTTCATCAGAAAAAGACACCGGGAAGGGCCTCAAACGCCGTCGTCCGGACGGCAGTTCTGGTCCGGAATTCTGGACCTGAACATTTGTCTATATATATATATATATATATATATATATATATATATATATATATATATATATATATATATATATATATATATATCAAAGCGATTTCATCGAGAGGCTTCTATAAATGATCCATTCAGATCCTCCCAATTTATCAAAGTTACATCACAAGTTAAGGGGGAAATGACTTGGTGATTTAGTGTTATAACTAACATTTTACACAAGTAGTTGTAAGAATATATTGAAGTAAATAAGATGAATATAAGGCATATCATGAGTTTGGCCAAAAGCGGGGATTGAAGACTCAAATTGAACAAAGAAGAGGCACACTTAAATTGAACAAAGAAGAGTCACAAGTTGAAAGACTTCAAACCCGACACTTCTTTTCTATCCAAACCGTTGCTAGATCTGCCCAAACGAACACCAGATAGAATTATTGTTCCACAACTTCTCGGGAGGTTCTGCCCAAGTCCGGTGCCGAAACCACCACCAAAACCAGCACAAGTTTGCTAAAAATGTCATATTTAATTAGGGCCGGAAAGTGGGCCCCGACACCGGACATGCTCAAACCGGTGTCGTTCTTGTGAGAATGTTGAAAATAGAAAGACATGCAAGGATATTTTTGATGAGAAGTGAAAATTTGGAAATGATAGCTCAAAAATTTCACCGCATACCAATTTAAGATCATGAAAATACTAGAAGATGTAATTCTTTAGTCTATATAAACCCCTAATCCATCACTTATCCATCATATGATTCCATTATTGACTTACTAGTTTCTGTATTTTGATCTTGCTACGTGTGTTGTTCTTGTGGGGGGCAGATAATCTCTTGTAACCATTGGTAATTATGTATTATTTTCTTTGTATTTTCATACTATTTAACTTTACAAGTATTTTAAATTTAACTAATATAATCGTTAGAGGCTAAGTCCCTTAAGAAAAGGCTTGAGATAAATCTTTATGTGCACTCATTCTTTACAAAAGGTCTAATATAATGGTTTATTCTCCTTATGTTTAACTATCCGACCATATATGTTATTCAATATAAAAGTACATTTATGTATTTACATGAGGTAACCAACATTGATAATTTGTTGCCCAAACATATGTGCAACAATATTGAACTCGTCACGAGGTTGTTGCCTAATCATCGTGACACATGCTACTTTGGGCAATAAACTCAACTACGTTGCCCAATACATTGTTTGTGCAACACCTCAATTCATGGCCAATGGGAGTCCATTGTGCAAGGAAACAAATCTCGTGTTCGATGCAACTCTTTTGTGAAACAAATATTAGATTTTTCACTGCACAAACATAGTATTCATACAAATACTCTAAATTGATTTTAATATTTTGTGCAATGAAACTCTCTTTTGATACGTAAATACTATATAAACACCTAGAATATCACTAAAATAAAAAACAATATCTAAAATAAATATTCTTTTTTAGAAACTTAGAATGTATACAAATAATAATCTCAGTCTTCTAATCTTAAGCCAAATATAACAAAACTACTAGAATAACATTTGTTGACATTCTAAACGTAGAAATTTAATAAAATAATAATAAGAATAAATCATTCACTCGCTGTAAACGTTACTGGACAAATGATTTCAAATCTTTTGTGCTCAACCCCTTAAAGTGCTTGTATGCTCTTCAAACATAGAAAATCCCCTGTATAACATGAAAAATATAACAAGTTGTGTATTACAAGATTGAAAGCACCATGCATAAAAAATCTCTCATTGCTTGATGATTACATTCATTGAATAAATCATGTTTAGTGCTAACAACCGTAACATTTGTATAATGTGCTTGTTTGTGGGATATGATAAGAAGAGTCTATGCTCAAATGATGTAGCTACATAATGTGTGACACTTCAATTTCAAAAACTACAAATTTAATACTAATATGAACTTCAGTACTTAAATATGAAACAATTCAATAATTTACCTGATCAATCTATGTATTTGATGGCCCTGGTGATTCTTTTTCCAACCCTCTCACTTCGCAACAACGGAAGTTTTAGTATCATGGTCCCTTTTTTCACCGAAAATACGTTCAACCGCTACCAAAAAACACCAACAATGACTTGAGTGAAAAATCAAAGTGAATGTCAATAGATTAGGAATATGAGAGAAAATACTCTATTTTCTGTTCAAACTAAAGAGGCAGAGGATTAGAGAAGACAATAACCCTTACACCTGCTTATTAAAGGTTTTGCAGCTGATATATATAAGAAATACTTTGTATAAGAAAGATAATTAATATCACATTAAATACTAAATATGTCAAACAAAGCAGCTAAAGCAGGTAAAAATTACTCCTTTGTCCCAAAAACTGATGATAGCTCTCTAAAACTTAAGTTTTTTTACCCAAAAGTTCATATTTCAATAAAAGAAACAAATTTTCATTGAATTTCGTATATACTACCAAATAAAATACCAAGCATAATTATTCTAATGATTTAAATACAATCATTGTTAGCTAGGGAGCTAATTACAATTTATTATATCATTTCTAGTTTAACTGAGATGAATATTGGGTCAAAACTCAAAACTCGGAATAGGAAAAATTAGAGTACTTTGAGTCGCGACAAAATATAGGTGCAAATAGGTCAAATTATTTAGGATATTCCTTGTGAACTGTAAATGTGCAGGATCTTACGTACATAGAAAACTACTCATGTATTCTCATTACATACTTTCCTAGGGGTTGATGTTAAGACCCGAGGTTCCATCCTAAAAGGTCAACCTAATAGGAGGAGTAACTCAAAGGCTTATATAATGTTTTATTGTTTTATAGCTTTCCGATGTGGGACAAATACTTTAACACACCCCCTCAGCCCAAACCGAGTTGGACAATATCGGGATGTAAAAATGGGCCAAATAGACCCTTAACAAGCTACCTGTAATCACGGGTGCTAAACAAGCAGTCAAACCACAACCTGAATTAGCTCTGATACCTTGTTAAGACTCGAGTTTCCATCCTAAAAGGTCAACCTTAGCTTCTCTCCCAGGGCTCAGCAGTATACTTCATGTCGTATTCTTGCAGCTCCATAAGTCCTTCTATTAGAAATCCACACGACCTCCTAAAGTGAAACTTTTCTCCATCCGTTGTTATAAAGCCCACTACATACAACATCATTTTAGCTATCAAGAACTTAACCCACTCATCACCGTATGCTATCTCAACCTCAACCAAAGGACAACCTCTTACCCCATTCAGGTTTTCAATTTCGTCAAACGCAGTCCCATCCCTGCATCCCATATATTTCAACCACCAAAGAAGTTCAATATACTTTGCATCAGTCCCCCTATCATCATGATGATCCACTTCTTCTTGTGATTTACTAGGGTCTCTTCGTACTTGTCGAAGGTCGGCTCCAACTCTAACATGGGAGCTTTGGATGATGGACCGGCCTCTCCCTCTACCTTTCACTTCTTCTTATTCTTAACCATTTGAAACTGATGTGAGCAGCGTACAATGGAATGAGAGCAGAGCAAGAGGATAGAAAAGGGTCTAGAAAGGGTTTAAGCGAGAGGGAGATGTGAGATAAGCGCGCTAGGATGGCCCTATAATGTAGTTCATTGTTAAGGATTTATTCTCTCTATATATAAAGGGAACCGGATGGGGAAAAACTGTTCCTGCCCTTGAACATCATGTGCATACCATGTGAGATATCACTGTTCTATCCATCTGCCACGATTGAATTAATAAAAAATATAAAATCAAATATAATTGCTGCTAAGGATGGTTAACCATCCTGATAGTGCTCCACCAGATATGGAACGGAACTGCTAGTATACGGTTATAACTGCAGCAACTTCACTTCACAGGCGATATTTGGAATTGCAACCATCTTTAATGACACTATTAATGGCCCTGTTATGGCTCCCCGGCGTAGATGCTAGACTTTTAGATAATCGAGTGGATAAACCATGCAGCTCCGGTTTGGCAACTTTCAAGACTACTAAATCTTTGATTAGACCATATGATGGATAGTCTACCCGGGGGTATATATCCGAAGGGTTATTACGGGGAATAATTTAGAGAGAAGTCAGAGCAAGTGAATAAAAGTAGAGAGAGAGAGTGTATTCAGTGTGTTATCACTTTTCAGCGTGGTTACAAATGAGGAAATGGGGTGCTATTTATAGCAGCAATAAATGCCGGGCAGGGACACGTGTCAAGCGCTCATTGGCCGAGGGGTCACCTCAACTGGTTGGCACTGGCAGCCGCATGTGGCCGCATTTAATGCGGCTGTTGGATGGGACGTCTGTGCAGAGTACGGTGATCTGTACGCATGTGAGGCGGATATCTTGTCGGGTGAGATGCCTTCGGCTATAGAGCAGTAGCCGAGGGCTCTTCCTCCCGATGGCACCCCTGGTGCCGAGGGCTCACAGTGCCGAGGGCTTCTGTTTTAGCCGTTTTCTCCCAGTTTCTTAGTTTGCTTGAGAAACCCGTTCTGTGAGAATTTGGAGCCTTCGGCCAGGGGGCCGAAGGCACCCCTGCGCGTTGTGCAGACTGCTTGGTACTCCGGGCGCTGTGAATTGGGCCTGTTGGGCCTTCTAGGCCTGTTGGGCCTTTGCTGGAGTAGTAGGAGTCTGTGGGCCGGGGGTTCCCGGGCCATATACTCCATCAGGAGTCCCTCACTCCTTTTGCCGAAAGGTACTTGGGGGAAAAGGAGTAATTTGTGCTTGCCCTTTGATGTTATCCCGTTGAGATCTCTGAAGTTGGTGAGGAGTTGTTGCTTTTATGTCCCTGCCGAAGGCAGTCCCTCAGTTACCCACATGTCGGGACTTGAGGGCTTGCTTTGTTGTTTGTTGGAATTTCACAGATTTTGTAATTTAATGATTTTCCCGAAGGGGTCCTCCAGTCCCCCACTCCTTGAGGCACTTGTAAAGTGGTGAAAAGGAGTAAAGTAGTTACGTTGTTGTTGTGGGCCGAAGGCTGACGCTCTTCGTTTCATTTTGGGGGGATGCCTCGTTAAAAACCTCATTAGAAAAAACCCTTTGGGAAAAAATCCTAATGAGGGAAAAAGAGTGCACCGAAGTCCCCCAATGATGAATCGAAAATGTCAAACCTTGGTAAAAAATGGAGGATGGCGGGAATGCCGAAGGCTCTCTCTTCTGAGGGCTCCTGTGTTGATTAGCCGAAGGCTTGCTGTTGATATCCTGGTGGCGCCGAAGGGGAGCCCCTCAATCCAGGGATCGAGGGCCTGCCAGATGAGGGCAGCAGTGAAGCTGTTACCGGGGGGTCCACTGTTTGTTGATGAGGTGGTGATGAAGATACCCGAGGGACATGGGCCATCCATCAATGAGGCACTCCCCGGGGGCTACTCGGTTTTGCAGTGCTGAGGGGAAAATCCCGAGGGGTGCCCTGATATGCAGCCCTAGGGATCTGAAGGGGTGATCCCGAAGGCGTATGTAATGTGCTGTGTGGGGCACAATCCCGGGCACTTCTGGGTGAGTGCACCCGGAGGCTATCTTTGATGAAGTGGAGTGAAGTAGAAAACCCGGGGGCTTCCAAAATATAGTCGTTGGAAATATAGCCGTTGGAATATGTAACGACAGGATATAGCCGTTGGGGGGGGGGGACACGTGGCGTGTGATGGCTGGCTGTCCGTGGGCGGCGTCACCGGTTGGGTGAAACGGCGGTGTGTAATGATGGCGTCCATCCGGAGGCCCGGAATCCAGGCCCAAGCCCGGATTCATCGCCTATAAATACCCCAAGGCCAGGCATTCCTCCGTGTGCGATAAACTTGTTAGCGAAGCTCTGTCAATTTTTCTAGAGAGAGAAAGTTCAGCCTTCGGTCAAAACTCAGCTTTCGAGGTCAGTGCTCCCTGCCTTTCTCCTTCTAGCATAGCTGTACTGTGCCCTTAGTTTAGGAGATAGAAAAGTTAGGAGACACTACCGTCTACGAGCCCTCGAACAAAGGTGCGAATGTCGTCCCAGAGTGACTCTCAGGATATCTCGAGGACGCCCTCGATGGAGGACGAAGGCATCTCCGATGTGGAGTCAAGCAGTGGTCAGCCCTCGGATTGTGGTGATGCAGCCCTCGCCACTGAGGTGCAGAAGGATCTGACGGCTGAGGCCGAGGCGGAGGAATTCGAGCGAACTGCTGAGGATGAAGAGTTGGCCCTCGCCGTCCAAGTTGCTGAAGAGGAGGAGGAGAAGGAGAGGGCGAAGGTCACTGTGGCCGTCCTTCCCCCTCGGGGTGCTGGTGAGGCCAGTACTTCCCAGCCGTTGAACGCGGTTCCCATCCGGGTGGCCCCCGGGAAGAAGAAGGCCAAGGCGGCTGTCCCCAAGAAGAAGGTCATAGCTGTTGATCAGGGGAAACCCGTAGATATGCCGGAGGGGTATTCCTGGCTCAACACGGCCGCCTTGGAGATAAGGTCGAAGGCGGACAGGGCGGACCTCTACGTGACGCAGCTACATGTAGGGCCCTCGGCCGAGGTGGTCGAGCCGGGAGTTGACGATGTGCTCTCTCGGGCGCCTGAAGGGTGCATTGCAGTACACGTGTTGTCGGTCTCCATGGGTCTTCGGTTCCCGCTGCACCCCTTCCTCCGGGAGTACCTGAGGTTCGTTGGCTTGGTGCCCTGCCAGCTGACACCTAACAGCCATTCCTACGTGGCGGGTTTTTTAAACCTCTGTAGGGACCGAGGGGTGACCCCCAGCCTGGACTTGTTCTTCCAGAGCTTCAACCTCTGTCGAGGGGGTCACGCGAATGCCGAGGGCTTCGCCAACCTGCAGCAGGTGGCCAGGTGGAAGCTGTTTACGGAGGCGCCTTCGTCAAACAAGGACTGGAAGGAGCGCTGGTGCTATGTCAGGGTTGCTGAGAACCCATTCCCGGTGGAACTTCGGGATCGCTTCCGTCGGCATCCGAAGGTTGGAAGCGCCGCCCTCGAAAAAGACGGCCTGGTGATAGCAAAAATCCCGGAGGGTCGCACCAAGCAGGTCTCCATCAAAGACTATACTGCCGACAAGGGATTCTACGCCCTCGGCTTTCGGAGATACCGATTTATTGGTGAAGCGGATGAGAAGTACCCCGTTTTTGCTGAGGCCTTCGGGGGAACAGGAGGTAGTCTACGAGGTCCCTTAGCACATAGCTTATCCTGTTCGTTTTTTTTTTTTGTTCATTGTGCCTTCGGTCAGCGACCCCTCGATTCTAACCCCATTCCTTTGTTTTTCGCAGGTGTCCCAGTGAAAATGATGAATGTTAGAGGCCTTGCAGATTTGAAGAAGAAGAAACCCTCCAAGGGCCCGAGGGGGACGGACGCCGGTGTCCCAAAACCCGCCGGTGACTTCTTCAAAAAAACGGAGGGGCCGTCGGTGGGCCCAAGCACTGATGCTGCTGCTGCCGCCAAAAGGAAGGGCTCGGGCAGAGATCCCGAGGGCAAGAAGCCCAAGACCGGGGATGCCGGAAAGAAATCCCCCCTCCTTGGCCTCATATTCTTCGGAGATTTGGCCAACGACCAACTTGGAGTCGCATTTGATGTGGATCTGCCGAGCCCTCATGTTGGCAGCCAGCCGAAGGCCACATAGGAGGGCCTCATATTCGGCCTCATTGTTGGAGACCTTGAAGGAGAAGCGGATTGCATAGTAAGCTCTGAAGCCCTCGGGAGTAATGAGGACTACCCCTCCTCCGCATGCTTTGGTCGCGGAGGAGCCGTCAGTGTAGAGGGTCCACCAGTCGTCCGAGGTAGCCGAGGGCTCCCCGTCCGTGGCTGCCCTTGCGGTACATTCCGTCACAAAGTCCGCTAGGGCTTGGCCCTTGATGGCAGGCCTTGGACGGATGTCAATGTTGTATTGGCTCAAGAAGATAGCCCATTTAACCATGCGGGAGGAGCTGGTGGGGCTCCTCATGAGGGCGCCGAGGGGTTGATGAGTGAGGACCTGAACGGGGTGAGCCTGAAAGTAGTGGCCCAACTTCTTGACAGTCCAAACGATGGCCAACACCGTTTTTCCACAGGGGAGTACCTGAGCTCGGCCTCCCTTAGGGTCTTGCTAACGTAGAAGATGGCATGTTGGATGCCGTCTTCCTCCCGGATGAGCACAGAGCTGACGGCCGCCGGGCTAACCCCAAGGTAGAGGTAGAGGGTCTCCCCTACCTTGGGTTTGGAGAGCACAGGGGGTGAAGATAGATATCTTTTTAGCTCGTCGAAAGCCCCCTGGCATTCTGGAGTCCATAGAAAGCCAGCCGTCTTCCTCATGATCTGGAAGAAGGGTAGAGACTTCTCTGCCGATTTAGATAGGAAGCGGTTGAGGGCTGCCAGGCGGCCCGTCAACCGTTGAACTTCCTTCACGTTGCGTGGGGGCTCCATGTTGATGATGGCCTGGATCTTCTCGGGATTGGCCTCAATACCCCTTCGGCTCACCATGTAGCCTAAGAATTTGCCCCCTTGGACGCCGAAGGTGCACTTGTTCGAGTTTAACCGAAGGTTGAATTTTTGCATGATGGCGAAGATTTCCCGGAGGTCGTCAGCATGGCTGGAAGATTGCTTGCTCTTGACGATCATGTCGTCGACATAGGCCTCCATGGTGCGCCCTAGGACGGCTTGAAAGACCCGGGCCACCATCCGGGTGTAAGTGGCCCCTGAGTTCTTTAGGCCGAAGGCCCTCACTAGGTAGCAGAAGATGCCCTCGGGAGTCATGAAGGCAGTTTTTTCGGCGTCCTCCTCGTGCATGAATATTTGATGGTACCCTCGGAAGGCATCGAGGAAGGACATGATCTCACACCCTGCGGTCTCATCCACCAATTGATCAATGTTTGGTAGAGGGAATGGATCCATAGGGCATGCTTTGTTGAGATCGGTGTAGTCCACGCACATGCGGAAGGTAGGGGGCTTCTGTGCGAGGACTACATTTGCTAGCCATGAGGGGTATTTCACCTCCTTGATGTGCTTGATTGAGAGGAGCATGGCGACCTCCTTCTTCACAAATTCCCTTCTCTCGGCGGAGAGGGGTCTTCTTCGTTGTTGCACTGCTTTTGCCGAGGGGTCCACCGAGAGGCGGTGGGTGATGACCCTTCGGCTAATTCCCGGCATGTCCTCCGGCCCCCATGCAAAGACAGTGGAGTAGGCGCGGAGGGCGTTGGTGATACCGGTCTTCAAATCTTCAGGGAGCTGGGCTCCAATCTTCACGACTCTCTCCGGCTGGGCCGGATCGAGCGCAAAGTCTTCTACGTCCTCGGCCGGTTCAGCCCTCGGCCTTCTTTCCTCTTGGTCGGCGGCTCCGGTGATGGTGTCAACACGGAATTCCGTCTTGCTTACCTTCTTAGTGACCTGAAGATAGCAGGCGCGGGCAATTTTTTGATTCCCCCGGGAGTAGCCAATGCCCCCCTCGGCGGGAAACTTGAGGCAGAGATGCCTCATGGAGATGATGGCTCCGAGGTCCTCGAGGGCTGGCCGGCCGAGTATGATGTTGTGAGCGCAGTCAATGTTGACGACGACGAACTCCACTTCGAGCTGGGCTCTATGGATCCCGTCGCCGAAGATCACTGGGAGGGTTATTACCCCCTCGGAATCAATAGTATCGCTGGTGAAACCAGCAAGAGGGGTCTTAATGGGCCGAAGAGACCCCCTCTCCAGATGCAGCTCTCTGAAGGTACTGAGGTACATTACATTGACGGAGCTGCCCGTGTCAACGTAAGTTCGGTGAATGATGGTGTCGTTGATCTCTGTCCGAATCACCAAGGCATCCCTGTGAGGAGAAGAAGTAGGAGGGAGATCCGCGTTGGTGAAGGTGATGGGTTCCTCCCTCAATCACTTCACCGGGGGCATATGAGTGACTTCCCCTACGTAAAGCGATTGAGCCCACTTCTTCCGCTGGCTGGTGGAATCGCCCCCTGTATTGCCACCGGTGATCATGAGGATGTGGCGTTTCTTCTCCTGGTAGTGGGGGTACTCCTCCTCCTCTTCTTCCAAGTTTCCGATCTCCCTCTTCTTGCCGAGGGGGATGGTGTTCGGATTCACCCAGGCATTTACCTTCGTATGGTGCCCTCGGGGAGGTCCCTGATGAGAAGGTCCATCCTGCCGAGGGCTCTGGACAAACTGGGACAGGTGCCCTGCCTGTATTAATCTCTCGATGGCCGTCTTCAGTTGATGGCAGTCATCGGTCCTGTGCCCCTGGTGTCGATGGAAGCGACAGTAGGGGAACTGAGGGTTGATAGCGTGTACCTCCGGGGGTGCGCGAGAATCGCGTTCAACGGGGCCCCTCTCCTCTGCAAAATCGAGGATGATGCTGACGGGGTGCGTCAATGGGGTCCGAGGGCGGTCCAGGAGAATGGGCTGGGCCCAAGTCTTAGGGTTGCTCCTATAACCTCCCCCGGGCTTGGCTTGGCCTTGCCGAGGGCGGTCATCAGAGGGTCCCGAAGCCTTGGGGCGATTTGGAGGAGTCCCCGGCCCTCGGTTGTGCTTGTTGTCAGCCCTCGGGGGCTGCTGGCCCGGATGCTGGTGATACTTCTCCACCTCCTCGGCCTCAGCATATCTGTCCCCCCCGCTGCAAGGCCCTTATGTAGTCGCGGGGGGGTTCAATGATGAGGCTCCTTGAAAAGTTGCCGGTGCGGAGGACGGTTTGTAGGAGGGCCAGGAGGGTCCCGTCATCAGCACCGTCGACCTTGTCGGCCTCCGTCCTCCAGCGCTCCAAGAAATCCCGAAGGGTCTCATCCTTCTTCTGGCGTATCGTTAGGAGGTGGGAGAAGTGCTTCCTTGTGCGACGCCTCCCGGCAAATTGTGTTAAGAACTGCTGGGCGAGTTCTTGCCATGAATCAATACAGCCCTCGGGCAGCCTGTTGAACCATTCGTATGCTGGTCCCTCTAAGGTGGAGAGGAACCAACGACACAAATATTCGTCTGACGCCCCCACCATCATCATGCTGTTCTGGTACTTGCTGTAATGCTCCTGGGGGTCCGTTTTTCCGCTGTAGGGCTGTATGTGCTGCCCTCAGTATTTCTCCGGGATCCGGGCCGCCAATACCCTTGGGGTAAATGGCGTCCGAGTCCGGAGCTGGATGACGGGTTCCCCGGAGCCCTCGGCCACCTTCTTCTGTAACTCCTCCATTTTGGCCATCATGGCCTCGTATTTGAGATCTGAGTGAGGGGTGGAGGTGGTGGCGTGAGCTTTTTTGGACTCCATTTCGTCAAACCGGCGTTGGAGGGCCGCAATAATCTCGTCCCGGGGGTCCCTCGGGAGGGTCTCCGCCCCCTGCGAACGAACCCGGGCCGAGTGGGCCTGGTTGATTTGGTGCCGAGCATCATCGGCATGAAGGGGTGCCTTGCCTTGGTCCCGAGGGGGACGCTCCTCGTCTGCCCTCGAAACAGATCCCCCGCTTTCCTGGGGCCTTTGGAGTGCTTTCCCCCCGAGGCGATCTTGGACCCCTCGGCAGTCTGGCCCTCCTCCGAGCCGGTTGAGGGCGGAAGTACGGGGCCTCTCCCTGTTGTCATTATGGCGGTCCCGGGACTGAACTTCCTGGGAGGATGTTTCTCGGGCCACCACCCCTTCGTCGTTTCTCACCCGAGGGGTGGGATTTCCGAAGGGGTGTGGCAGAGGGGGAAGTATGATATTCTCCCCGATCTGAGGGTGAGCCGGAGCCAGGGTGCCGAAGGCACCCGGGTTCTGGGTGAGCGTTTGGATGAAGGCGGAGAGCGCCGATTGTACGTCGATGGTGAGAACCGGAGGGCTGACTTGGTCATCGCTCCGGTTTTTCTTCTTGGCCTCGATGCCGAGGCGGGCATCGGGGGCGTTTTGTTGGATCTGAAGGCGTAGGTCGACAGCCGCCTGTTCCAGCCCAGCGAGGACACCGCCCTCGGGAGCCCTGTGAGAGGCTTCGGGGGCGTTGACGTCGCCGAGGGCCAGGTTCTTGTCTTCTACGTTCTTTGAGTTGGCACGTGTTGTCCTCACCATTTTGATAGAGGGCTAGTGTTTTGTGTTTGGTCGAGGGGGAGGGTTTCTTACTCGATTGTTCAACCTCTCAACGAGAGCACCAAATGATGGATAGTCTACCCGGGGGTATATATCCGAAGGGTTATTACGGGGAATAATTTAGAGAGAAGTCAGAGCAAGTGAATAAAAGTAGAGAGAGAGAGTGTATTCAGTGTGTTATCACTTTTCAGCGTGGTTACACATGAGGAAATGGGGTGCTATTTATAGCAGCAATAAATGCCGGGCAGGGACACGTGTCAAGCGCTCATTGGCCGAGGGGTCACCTCAACTGGTTGGCGCTGGCAGCCGCATGTGGCCGCATTCAATGCGGCTGTTGGATGGGACGTCTGTGCAGAGTACGATGATCTGTACGCATGTGAGGCGGATATCTTGTCGGGTGAGATGCCTTCGGCTATAGAGCAGTAGCCGAGGACTCTTCCTCCCGATGGCACCCCTGGTGCCGAGGGCTCACAGTGCCGAGGGCTTCTGTTTTAGCCGTTTTCTCCCAGTTTCTTAGTTTGCTTGAGAAACCCGTTCTGTGAGAATTTGGAGCTTTCGGCCAGGGGGCCGAAGGCACCCCTGCGCGTTGTGCAGACTGCTTGGTACTCCGGGCGCTGTGAATTGGGCCTGTTGGGCCTTCTGGGCTTGTTGTGCCTTTGCTGGAGTAGTAGGAGTCTGTGGGCCGGGGGTTCCCGGGCCATATACTCCATCACCATACTTACAGTAACTTTGGTCGAAAAGAGTGGGGACGAATGGACGATATCGGGGAGGCGACGACAAAACACACTCGGTTGTACTAAATGATCAAAACATGGTCAAAGTTTGATATAGGAAAAAGAAATTATGACAATGGGTTTCAAGATGAGCTGTCTCATTAAATGGTGCTCGCTTGCCATCATCCTGTTGATTCTACGTGAAAGAAACGTGAAGCAGCTAAAAATCTAAAATGACGGAGACACAATAGAAGTTGTAATTTCAATCGGGCCACAAGCTTTGATGCTAGAATACACATCATCTCCCTCGCTAATCATTCTTCCACCTTCACCCTCAAGGTCCACAGCCATCTCATCGGTGTAACTAAATCTCTCAAACCGCCTCTGGGTAGGCACCGGAGTATGCAAGACCAGATTTCGAACTAGATACGACCTGACAGCTTCTGCCAGATGCACATAAAAAATTTCACAGGCCTCAACTTTAGCTTTCACACTACTTTCACTATCACTAGCTTCTTGGATTCTCTGATACCTTTTTTGTCTTTTTTTTTTGGATTCTCTGATACCATATTAATAACTCAAAGACTTATATAGTGTTTTATTGTTTTATAGCTTTCCGGTGTGGGACAAATACTTTATTAACATTTGATACAGAATTTCAATTTCAATATTATAATCCCCTCAATTGACAAACATTACCAAACTAGTTCTTAGATATATTTTTTATTGGAAAAAATAGAAATTAGAAAATAAGTTGTATGGGAATATTACCTCAACAACAAAAGTTGAGCAGCCAGTTAGAAGACAAAGAATAAGAAGTCTAGTGGTTACAGCTCTGACAACTTTTGCATGAGAGAATGTAAAAGGAGTAGCCAAAGAAATGACGGAGTTGGAGAAGTCGAACGATGTCTTTACCTTGGAAGAAGTCGATTGCAGATTTTTGTGAAAAGCTCAAAAAATCAACCGCTTCAGAAAAGCACCAGAAAAGAGAGACACTTTCTTATCCATCATCACTGCTGAAAAGCCAAGCGCTTTGGGGACGCTCCCTTTGCTTTGTCAATTAAGCGCACTTTCCGGTGCTTTTAATAAGTTTGCTTTCATGATGGTTCCTTTGAAGCTTTTGGAGGGTTTCTTAGAAGCTCTTTTTCAATCATTTGTTCCTATCATTTGGGCAGCCATATCATACCTAACATTGATCATCCAAGTTCAACCACTTAAATACTTAGAATAAACTAGTCCACTTTACTATGGAATTAAATAATCATTTCAGCTGTATAAATGGTGTCTCCAGATACCAATGTTCTAAAAGGCGCTAATCGGACGCCAGCCCAGCGCCTAGGCGGTTAGGTGGACGCTTAGTCAGGAAGTCGTCGGAGACATAAAAATTGCATTTTTATCTAGATTTTTACATATATATTATAAGTAATATTGTATTTTTGTGTGTATAAAATACATATATAAATATACATTAACAAACATGAATGATATGATTATTACATTTAATCATACGTAGTACTCCCTCCGTCCCATTGGACTTTGCCATATTTCCTTTTTTGGTTGTCCAAAAAAACATTGCCACTTTCCCATTAAAGTAACTATTTTGTGGTTCAACCATTTCTCTCTCCTCTGCACAAACTTCAATCACATAATTTTTACTATTCTTATTTCTCACATAACTTAAGGAGTGCAAAGTCCATTGGGACGGAGGTAATACGGAGTATATGATAACTAATCAAGATGTTTTTACTTGGACTGAAATTTGCTAGTCTGGTCTGGTTCGGTCTGGTTTGGTCCGGTCTGGTCTGGTATGATCTGATCTGGTCTGAACTGGTCTGGTCTGGTAAAGTCTAGTTCCTGTGTATTTTATAATTGTTCAAGTCTGGTCTGGTCTGGTTTGGGACTGAAAACAGTCCAAGTAAAAACATCCTCACTTAACTTCATTATATTATAAATTATAAATATAAATAATGATAAAATTTAGGTATATATACAAACATATATAGTTTTATCTTAATTTACAACTTCATTTTTTTATATACATGGCTAAAGCTAAAGTACATATATTGCTTAGAAAATTAAAACTAAAACGTAAAGTAATGTTCGGCGAATTTTGACAACCTAGGCGGCCGATTAGGCGCTCTAGGCGGGCAACTAGGCACCATAGGCGGCCGACTAATTCACCTAGCGGCAAACCAATTAGTCGGAGCTCCTAGACGAAGATCGGGAGGCTTGACCACCGCCTAGCGGTTAGGTAGGGACTAGTCGGACGCCTAGAACGATTTTTAGAACTGAGCCAGATACCAACATCAATTCAATGCTTGGTTTTTATTAGTGAAAAGCTTTGGCAGCTAAATAGATATATATGTGAGTGAGTACACCTATATAGATGTATGTTGAATAAGTTAATTATGCTCCATCTAAATAACTCAACTGCACACATCCATGGAAAGTGTTGGAGAAAGCCATAAGTGTGCTTGCATCCTTGAAAGTGTTGGTGAAAAGAAAACATATGCTATAAAAATCTAATTATGTGTGACTTTACCATGGAACTGAATCTCTTATCTTTTTCAGACATAATCTGGAATCTTTCTAAATTTGGTTAAGGGGGGCACGTGCCCCCGCTTCAGGCTTGGAATTTCACCAGTAACACTTAAGGTAAAAACCAGTGCCCTCGCATCAGGCCTGAAATTTCACTAGTAGCACTTAAGATAAAAATCAGTGCCTCCGCCTCATACCAATATTTGATAATTAAGATACTAAAATGTTACAATTATATAAATAAAAAATTAATACAAAATATTTAAATTTTAGCTGAATTAAAATAAAAGATATAGAATTATCAAAAAACAAACAAAAAAATAATTAAGGGATGAAAACAAAAAGTAACAAAAAAAAGTTAAAATACGAAAGAGTAGCCAAATGTGCAGGTACCTAAAACTATTAAAAGTCTGAAAACAAAACCCACTAACATTTGAAAGATTAGAATAAAAAGAGCGGAAGTTCTCCAAAAACAAAACCTATAGACGGTTTACGAATTACGACTTTAGGGGATGTCGTTGCCTTGGCTCTGGCCTCTGGGGATTTCGCTGTCTTGCTGAATTGACGCTGCACCGCCGCACGCCCACACCGCTGAATAGACTAAGTTTAGTGTCTAGTGTGTCCCTGCTCTCACAAATCTCTGGATCCGCCACTGCTCACTTTTGTAATGGAAGGATGTTAACACCCTGATATACTCTGGCAGATGAGAATGAACTCTGATGATCTTTTTCCAGGATCCAAATATACCCAAAAGCATATTTTGATGACACAATCCGACTAGAATGGTCAACTTACATAAGAAAAAAAAAACATAAAGAACTCAAAAGTATACTTAATTTAAAAATCTTTTCTATCTAAGCATAAAAATGCACTCCTTAATTTTCACAATTCAAGAAATAAAACGTGGGGTAAAACATAGCAAAATTGCTGAAAAAGTTGGTGAGAAAAACTATAATCTAACAAAATAATTATGAGAGGAAAAATAGAGGATAACTTCTCCACCCGTTCACCTGCAGTTAGGGCTGGGTCCGAAAAATCGAAAACCGAAAACTGAATCAAATCATACCGAACCGTAGCCAAATAAAACCAAACCGCTAACAAACCGAAACCGAATGTAAAAAACCGAACCGAACCGTAGTTGTTTGATTCGGTTTTGGTTTTTACCCGTCAAAACCGAACCGAACCGAACAAACCGAACTAGTTAAAATATACGGAGTAAAATTTATTTGTCCGAACGTTTTTATATAACCCAAAACCTACTTTTTTTGCTTCCGGGCATTTGTCACGGACCGTTCCGTGACAAAACCGGGACAAATTTCAAAAAAACTTTGTCACGGATCCATCCGTGACAAAATCCGTGACAAATCTCAATTATTGATTTTCCAGCGGTAACCTTTAATAATACGGTACGGAAAAAGAGTTGTCACAGATAAATCCGTGACAAATTCGTGACAAACGTTTTTATATAACCCAATCCCATCGTCCATTACAATTGCAAGAACAACAATTATGAGTTCAAAAATTCGTAGATTCGAGTGATGTAGTATCGGTTTAAAGATTGAATGATGTAATCCGTCAGTTCATCATTTTCCGAGTTTATGCAGATAAGGTATGTCATTTTAACTAATTTCTTTTAATTGTGTAATAAATTAATTATTAGCTTAATAATTAATTATTATTAGTGAGGTTAGGATTCTTTTTTCTTTATATAATAATAATTAATTATTAGCTTAATAATTAATTAATGAGTGAGGTTAGTTGTTCATTTATTTAAACTATTAACATAATTTAGTGAGGTCATGTTAATTTTTATATTATTAACAATATATTATTAAACTATTAACGTAATTTAATTAGTTAAATTTAAATATAAATATTAATTAGTTAAATTATTGTTATTATTAATGCATAATAATTTAGGATGTGTAGTGATGATTTAAGTATTAGCTAGCTTATTATAGATTAATTAATTAGTGACTTGTAGTGATTTAATTAATTAGCTAGCTAGCTTAATTATTAGGTTATTAATTATCACCAATTATTATTTATTAGCAATTATCGTTAATGGGATGCATAATATAGCTAGCTAGGATTGAAACTTTATTATTATTTAGTTTAGTGTGAATTATTATTGTGAATTATTAATGAGATAATATTTAACAATAATATTAGTTAAATGTAAATTAATTAACTAATTAATTAAGTTAAAACATTGAGGAAATGGGTTTAGAATTTGATGAGTTGATAATATTAGTTAGATTTAAATATTAGTTAATTGATCAATGATGATGATTAGGTTTAATTTGTTTATTAATTAGTTAATTATTGTTAATGCATAATTTAGGATTTGTAGTGATTTAAGTTAGGATTCAAACTTTATTAGTTAAGTGTGAATTATATATTATTGTGAATTAATGATATTTAACAATATTAGTTAAATGGAAATTAACTAATTAATATGTTAAATTAGTTAATTATTGTTAATGGGATGCATAATATATATAGCTAGGATTGAAACTTTATTATTATTTAGTTTAGTGTGAATTATTATTGTGAATTATTAATGAGATAATATTTAACAATAATATTAGTTAAATGTAAATTAATTAATTAACTAATTAATTAAGTTAAAACATTGAGGAAATGAGTTTAGAATTTGATGAGTTGATAATATTAGTTAGATTTAAATATTAGTTAATTGATCAATGATGATGATTAGGTTTAATAATTAGTTAATTATTATTAATGCATAATTTAGGATTTGTAGTGATTTAAGTCAGGATTCAAACTTTATTAGTTAAGTGTGAATTATATATTATTGTGAATTAATGATATTTAACAATATTAGTTAAATGGAAATTAACTAATTAATAAGTTAAATTAGTTAATTATTGTTAATGGGATGCATAATATATATAGCTAGGATTGAAACTTTATTTTTATTTAGTTTAGTGTGAATTATTATTGTGAATTATTATTGTGAATTATTATTGTGAATTATTAATGAGATAATATTTAACAATAATATTAGTTAAATGTAAACTAATTAACTAATTAATTAAGTTAAAACATTGAGGAAATGGGTTTAGAATTTGAGTTGATAATATTAGTTAGATTTAAATATTAGTTAATTAATTGATCAATGATGATGATTAGGTTTAATTTGTTTATTAGTTAATTATTGTTAATGCATAGTTTAGGATTTGTAGTGATTTCAGTTAGGATTCAAACTTTATTAGTTAATAATTAAAACGATTAATGCCATTAACATATTACTATTAGTTAAATATTAGTAAATTATTAATTCCGGCCAGCTTAATGTTTTTAAATAATATTTTAGTGGGCGTTTCTACATGATTGAAAAGTTGGTTAATTCAAATTATTAATGCCACAAATAATGTACTGCTTTTAGTTAATTAATAATATTAATGTACTTATATATTATTTTGATTATAATATATATACAGGCATAATGTATAGACAAAACAGAAGTTGGATGTACCAAAAACATCGTGATAACTATGGAATACGCAGTGAATTTTTTAATGGTGTTGAAGATTTTATTAAATTTGCACAAGAACAGAAGAATTATATGGATGGCGATAAAATCAGATGTCCATGTACAAAGTGTAAAAATCTTCAATTTA